TAGACGAACTCTACGACCTGCACAAGGGGCTCAACTAGTGCAGCTTATGCAGGATGGCACATCAATCTGTCTCTATTCTCCCACACTGCAGAATCTGTTTAATCTCTAACATTCTGCTCTCTCTGGTTTTTCTTATAGTAGCTTCATCTGGTCTGCTCCTGTTTGGCTGTGACTCCATCCTGAAGCGGAATATCAGCTGGAGGCAATACAGAGAACAGGACAGTACACTGGGAGATATGGAGGAGACCATAGGAGGGCAACAACTCAGCAACAGGTCCGCTACCTCCACTGTTGTGCAAAGAGGAACAGGAGGAGCACTGTCGGAGCCCTGCAACATGACATCCAGCGGCTCCAGAAACATGCATGTGTCTGCACAAAGGGTTAGAAACCAACTCAATGAGGATGAGAATGCTTGACTCTTCCCAGAGAACACAGGCTTGTCAAATTTGCCACTGGCGCCCTTTGCCATTCACAAACGAAAGCAGGGTCACATTGAGCACATGTGAAAGACTTGACAGTCTGGAAACTCAGACCCCTGGGAAGACCAGATGCTGATGCGGTTGCAGATTCAAACATTTAACCCTAACCCTAACACTGGTCTGTTTCCAGTTTTAGGGTTCCTCCTAACACTGGATAATGCTAGACCTCATGTAGCTGGAGTTTGTCAGCAGTCCCTCCAAGATGAAGGCATTGAAGCTATGTACTGCCCCCCCTGTTCCCCAGACCTGAATCTGATTGAGCACATCTGGGACATCATGTCTCGATCCATCTACCAACGTCATGTTGCATCACAAACTGTTCAGGAGATGCAGGATGTTTTAGTCCGGGTCAGGGACAGACATCGTAGGGATGTCACACAGGCACATGGAGGCTACACACAATACTAAGCCTTATTTTGACATGTTACATCAAAGTTGAATCAGCCTGTAGTGTTTTTCCACTTTAATGTTTGACTCCAAACCCAGGCCTCCATTGGTTAATCAATCTGATTTCTTTCTTTCTTTTGATTTTTGTGTGATTATTTTTTCAGCACATTCAACTTAATACAGAACAAAGTATTAAATGAGAATATTTTGTTCATTCAGATCTAGGAGGTGTTGTTTAAGTGTTCCCTTTGTTTTATTGAGCAGTGTTTATTGACATTAATCAAAAAACAAAAAAATGCAGTCATTAGTTATTCAAATCTATATATTTACATTAAATATGACAAATTTTGAATTTTTTTTTTTCTGTATTGGGGGAGAGGGGACATTTATTTGTTTCTGCAGTCAAGAATTCTCTAGATAACGAGAAACAAAGAACAGCTTTATCTATTTAAGGTCTCTGAATAGGGTGTGTAACATTGGTTGGGCTGAAAATGGCATATTTGCTGTTCTATGAACTGTAAA